AATTGTACCCGAATCTGACTTTTACCGACCCGACCGAAGCTTAAAATATCAGAATCCGAACCAAGAAATTTAATATCCGAAACCGACCTGAGAAAATTAAAACCGAACCCGGCCTTTGTTGGGTCGGTTTCAGGTCATTAAATATGACCGACCCGACCCATGCCCGACCGACCCGACATTAAACCCGACAAAACATACTCCGTATGTTTTTTAAAAAACCCTAACCGTAAGTCACTCCCCATTACCCATCCGTCCAGCACTCCAGCCGTCTTCCACTCGTCCAGCACTCCAGCCGTCTTCAACTCCTCATCCATCGACTCCCTGGCGATTGAAGTTTCCGATCAATCCGCCACGCGATTCATCCACTGCTTTACCGGAAGCCGCTCAGCCCCTCTTCTTTACAGATCGACCTCCATCACTTCCTGTAGTTCCTCAAGTATTCACTTCCTGTAGTTCCTCGGTCGGGTCGGTTGCGGTATCAGGCCTCTGTTAGCATAGTCGGGTTCAGGTTCGGGTAGAAACTCTGACCCGACGGTTCGAATTCAAGAAAAAAAATTACCGATCTCAGTTTCGGGTCGGTTTCGAGTAAAGGTATATCCGAACTGAACCCGACCCGTTGTCATCCCTACTAGAAATGGTCATGAAGCCTCGGGGCTTCAAACTTTCTCACTCTGCCACATCAGCTTTAACTTACACCAAAATTTCACTGGAAATGGGTTTGTAGCCCCCGGGCTTCAAACTGAGGCTTCAAACATCTATTTTTTATATTTTTTAATATACACCTTCTAAAATTAAATTAACAAATATTGTTATTTAATTGAATTTAAACGACAATAACTCATTAATTAAAAAAAAATTACATTCATTAAAAAATTACATTAATATAATAAGATTTGAATAAAATGATAATCTCATTTTTCGAATATTTTGTAGAGATAATTATAAGAAATATAATACGGAGTATATTTTAGAGGAATTATGATGATAATGAGAATAAGTTATGTGTGTTTGTTGTGTTAAAAATAAGTGTCTTTATAATATTGAAAATAATTTTTTTTAAAATTAATGGCCAACGGTCCAAATTATTGCCGTTGCGGGAGGAATAATAATAATAATAATAATAATAATACTCCGGTAATAATAATAATAATAATAATAATAATAATAATAATAATAATAATAATAATATTATTATTATTATTATTATTATTATTATTATTATTCATGGATAGATTGAGTAATTATACTGATATTCGTCGCAAGAAAAAGTTATAAAAGATCTTAGAATGCAATTGAACATGGAGACGAAGAACAGAAGAGGATTCCATTGATAGATAAACAAAACATGTAATAATCACAAAACACCAAAGCAGTAACAACTAATCATCCTAATTGACATTTTCATTCCCAGATTGGTAAACCCTAGATAAAAACAGATCAATTTGATTATTCAAGAGCTGGTAAACTTCGTCACAGCCTTGGTTCCCTCAGATACGGCGTGTTTGGCCAATTCACCGGGAAGAACAAGCCTCACCGCAGTCTGGATCTCCCGGGAAGTGATCGTGGGCTTCTTATTGTAGCGAGCCAATCTGGAGGCCTCCTGAGCGAGTTTCTCGAAGATGTCGTTGATGAAACTGTTCATGATCACCATCGCCTTGCTGGAGATCCCGATGTCTGGATGGACCTGCTTCAGGACCTTGAAGATGTAGATCTTGTATGTCTCGATGCTCTTCTTCGGCCTCTTCTTCTTCTTCTCTCCGGCAGCGGCAGCGCCAGCCTCCTTGGGAAGCTTCTTCCCCGCCTTCGGCTTCTTCTCCGCCGGAGCCTTCTCTGCGGCGGTGGACTTCTTCTCCTCCGCCGGCTTCTCGGCGGCGACCTTCTTCTCTGCGGCCGGCTTCTTCTCTGCCTTGGGAGCCATTGATGTGTTTAGAAAGGATTTGAAGGTTTGAGAGAGGGAAAGTTTTAACAGAGCGAAAGTAATTGAGAGCGATGGGATGCAGAAATGATGGGTTTCGCTTTTATAGATGGGGCTTAGATCGGTGTTTATTGGATGAGACGCGGATCGATGAGCTGGACAAATCTGAAGCGTCGATAACTGACGAGTTTCATTTTGACATCGACGGCTACGAGGGGACCAGATCAGGGATGGGCGGTTCACACTACACGTGGCGGCTTCCGATTGGGTATCTAGTAAGCACGCGGATCGTGGACTGATGAAATCAAATTTGATGAGTTTTGGAATTGCGCGCGACGTAATTTTAGAAATTTCAATCGCGCCAATTAACCAGGCTCAATTTAGATTTTTTAAGATTCTATACGATTTTTCATAATCCATGGATTCCATAAAACCTAGGGATTGTTTTAATTCTACATAGAGTTTGACAGATTTTATTGTATTTTATTATTCAGATTTGTTTGGATTCCAAAAAGTCTATAGATTGTTTTAAATCAATAATTTATTAAAAATTGATTGTAATAATAAAAATATTAATTACAAATAGATACAGAACTCTCACGATTTACCATTGAAATAAAATGAGAATGAAGCAAAGAAACACATCAAACACATTTGAGATGGATAACCCTAATTTGGTAGATTTTTAAAAATAAAACTCCAACAAATGCATTTAAAGGGACACGATCTGGAATTCCCCAACAAATGCAACCAAATCGTAAGAGAGGAGACCACTCCCATGGCTGAAATTCTCCAACAAATGCATATAAAGGGACACATCCCTAATTTCATCCATTCAACAGCAACTCCACCGAAACAGAGCAGCGACGTGAGAGATTTCCGCCTGCGAAGTGTTCAATGATAGAGTTTCTCAATTTCAGCCGACCAGAGGCGAGGATGGAGGAGAGATGAAGAAGACGGGTGAAGAAGAAGAACATCCAATGATGAAGAAGCCCGAAGAAGAAGAAACGGCCGAAGAAGAAGTAGACATAAGGAGTTTATAAAATCTTTGGTTTTTGGGTGAGAGTTGGGAATTGATTTATATATATACCCAATGCTTAAAAATCCATCAAAATCTATATTTTTAAAAATCTCTAAAAATCTATCAACTTTTTAAATACTATCATATTTAGAAGGACTTTTTAAAATCTCAATTGAATACATTCAGATTTTAAATGACTTAAATTGAATACCTATAGATTTTCAAAATCCAAAAAAATCCATCACAATCCTGATTGAATACACCCCCTAAGTCATTGTTTGGATAAAAAGAGAAAATGAGTGGAAAGAAATAAAGAGGGTAAAACAGTAATTTTGCTTGTTTTCCTTCCCAACCTACGATTTTCTCCTCCCATGTGGAGAGAAAACTTTAAGGCTAATTTTTCTCTCCTTTTTCTCTTCTCCCCACCAATTCTCTTCCAACCAAACAAAATAAAACACCTTGAAATATGTGTTTTCTCTCCATTCATTTTCTTTCCTCCCAATTTCTTCTCAACCAAACAACCTGTAAATTTCAACCGTAATCGATGTACTCCGTATTCCGTATGAGCCTTTTGTTTGGAAAAGATTGTATTCAATTTTTTTAACACTAATAAATTTATTATAACTAGTATTTTTACTCGTGTCATGCATGGTTTGGACAAATTTTTTTTTCGATTCTATAATGTGGATCTAGATTTTTATTTGGCATATTATTTAAAAGTCAAATATAAATGATCTAGGTTTGATGTATTTCTACAAATCTATAATTTTTCTCCCTGTATAAATTCAAAAATATATTAATACAAAAAGTATTAGTGATTCAATGATTTTTTTTTCCTCATATTAATTTAAAAAAACCTAAATTACCGACCTTATTATTATATACTCCCTCTGTCTCTAAGTATTTGTCTACTTTTTACTTTTTTTTGTCAAAATTTATAAATTTTGACCTCAAATTAAATAAAAATGATATTAGATATTGATACAAAGTTAGTTTTATTTGATTTATTATATCATTCATTTTCAAAATATTATTTTATCTACTTAATATATAATACATATTTTATTTAATTAGAATCTCATTTGTATTAATCTTGTGTTTGATTATGAAATTTGTGGTTGATTGTGCATTGAATTGGGGTGTGTTGGGACTGTTTTCCGGCGTCCCGCCGGCGGTTGGCCGACAGTGGCTGCGGCCGGTATAGTGGACAGATCCGACGGGTCCAATTTGGACCCAATTGGTTCTATTGGGTCAATTAGGGTCCAATTGGGTTAACCATTGTGTAATTGGATTCAAATGGGTTTAATTGGGTCTGTCCGGGTTCCAATTGGAATGGTTCTTGTGTAAACGGGTTGGTTTGGGTATGATTGCAGTGTTTGGGTTGACCGGGCTGTTTGGGTTTACTGTTTGGGCTACCCGGACCAGTTGTTTAGGCCGTTGGGCCCGTTTGGTCCGGCTATCCGAGGCGGCGGTAGAGCTGTCGGGTGGTGGGCAGCTGCCGGGAGGGTTTGGTTGGTTAATTTTTGGGCCGCCGGGTCGGTCCAGCGGGTTGTCGGACTGATCCAGTGGTATTTGATACTGTTCTGGTGGGTGCAGTGGGCATGAAGATAAGTCCTTAGTCCCGAGTTTGCGACACCGGTAAGTTACTTTAATATTGTTGGGTTTAGTCTTGTTGTTTGAGCATGACGGTAATTGGTGAGAGGTGATTCTTCTGATAGGCCGCTAAGTGTGTTGTTTTGTTTATGGAAATATTTAAGTGCTTGTTATCACTTGAGAACTCTAATAGAAATTGGCCACCTAGTATACCTAGGTGGAACTGAATTGAATTGGATTGTTAAATCACCAAGAAGAATGTTGTTAGGTTCAGGCCTTGTGGAGCATGTTTGTATATCTAGTGGTATAGGGTTTAAAACGTACGTACGAGAGTCACTGTTCTACCTAAAAGATTCCTTGATAGGGACTCCAACCCGCCCATTTAGGATTCTCTTGGGGTTTGTCCGAGCATCGACCTCGAGGGATCCTCTCGAGTGTCCGTAACTCTTGTATGTTGAATTAAGCCTTAGTGGTGTAGGATCAGAATTAGGTCATTGAGAATAAACGTATTGAAACTGTTGGAATTCTTGTATCTAAAAATAGTTGCTGAATGTTCACTGATGTTGCTGATTATATAAATGTGAAACTATATGTGAGATTGATTATAACGTTAGATATTTTTCTCACACATCTTTTAGCTGAGCGTGTAATCTTGTTGTCTTTGACTGCATGCAAGCCTGGAGGACGTTGATACGTGACGTTGTGGATGACGTCATCTTTTCCCTTTATGAACATTTAATTATTATGTTTATTAATTACTTGGTTAAAACATTGATTGTAGAACATTTTTTAATACTTCCGCACATGATGGACTTTACTCCGAACCTTTCATATTTAATTTAGTGTTTGGATGTTTTTGAATAATTTGTCTAAATTGTTGTGCTGTGAACACTAATTTAGTAACAACTAAAATCGTTAACTCCAGGGTTCAGGTTATGCAAGTTGGGGTGTTACACATATTTTTGGGGCGTTGCACGTATAGGTTTCATATTTACGTTCATGACTTTGTTATGATTGATATATGTGAAAACTCATATGTTCGAGAAGTTCGCCGGCAACAGCACCGACATGACCCTTGGTGTGAAAAGGGGGATCGTCCTCAAGATCGGTTGGTTGTATGGCGGTTGATCTCCACCCGACGCTTGAGTTCAGCAACTTCTCGCGTGATGCGAGACATACCGTGCTCTGAGCCTTTCGTCTTCTCTGTCCTTATGGAGCTTTGGCGATGTTGGGTTCGCTCGTCCCATCGCCCGTCGGTACACTCGGGCCTACCAGAACGCGCATCTAAAGTGGCTGATTCCTCGGTATGCCTCCGCCTCCCCTCCGAGATGTGACGACGTAAATCGCCTTGGCGCCCGTCGGCCCTTGGTTGAGCCTGTTGAAGACCGACATGCGGGCTTCTTTCCCCACAGCCTCTTGAAGGCCAACACTCGGCCCTCGCTAGAGTCGTCATCCCCCTCTTCGAGGATATCTTCCACCAGCACTTCCTATACTGGGGCCTTGTCGGGCCTCCTCTGGCTCCTCCATTTCCTCTTCCCCTTGTGCTCGGAAGTGGCATCATGCTCGGTAACGGGGTTCACCGAAGCCTGGGTGGCTCCAGTGCCGCGACTGCTTCTGCTGATGGAGAGAGGGCTGCAACGGCAGTGTGGTCACTCCCATCCCAACTAGCGCCTAGACTACATCGAGAGTTGAGGTGATCGCCTCGATCACATTCCCATTTCCATTGTGTTGGCTGTTCCCCTCGCCAGGGACGTGGCTGGTGGTGGGAACGTTGCTCCTTGTATGCACCATTCTCGTTCTAGGGAGTTAACCTACTAGTATGTTTATTTCTCTCAATGAAAGCACCAACTTGAAGGCAATAAACCACAGAGTATGTCGACCTTGTGGTCGGTGACCTGAGTAAGCTAGGGAAGTAAAGATAGAGAGAGATAGAGTGCAAAGTAGGAGTATTATTACCTTAGATTCGGATCCCCTACAAGGATAATGCATAGGGCTATTTATAGGCTTACACTCTACAACAGGAATAACCATGACTTGAATCTTGCTTGTCGCCTAGCTGTTGTCTTGATCTTTAGGAATCATTGGGAGTCTCGTGACACTCCCTTGTCATCTAGCTCTCGTCGTTGGTCGTTGGAGCCTTATGGTCTCGCATCTGTCTCCAGGTGACAGCTTCATGTGTCCGTCATGGGTGCCACCGTATGGGCCCCCATACCCGAAGCGATGAGCTCACCTCGGTGGCATCGAGCCGAGGTGACAAGGGTACCCCACCGAGGACACGTCCGTAGGAGCTGTGGGGTCGTCTGATGATCAGGAGCCATCCTCCATCACAAGAGTTTAACTAACATTTTGAATCAAAATACGTGCGAGATTGATGAATTACATTAATATAAAATGTCACTACAAAATTATACGATCCCACTAATTTTTTTGTCAAGCTAAACTATCCGAATATGTGCATAAATCTTTAAATACATGTAGAGAGGTAAGAATTATCAATTTTACGAACGAGACACCAAGACATTCCATGACATTGATTATAGATCTTTTGGTTATGGGAGGGGTAGGTATAAATCTTTAAATACATTTTTGGTTAGATCTTTTGGGTACACATAACATAGTTTTTTATTCATTCATCGAATAATCATCTGACAGTTGTACAAAACGTTTGAATCAAAATCTCGATGTGAAGGGAATGAGGACTCCTTTCTTTGTTTTCTTTCCTCCAATAAAACGCAGCCACCGAATGCATAGCTGTTTCTCGCTGTGGGCGCGTGGGATCAGCTGCAAATCACGCGGGCTAACGTGCGCGCGGGCAGCGCATGTTAAATTGCGTTACCCTTCTCCTATAGTGGGGGGTTCGCAGAGCGCACCATAGCCATTTCTCTCTCTTTCAGATTTTCAGGTAAAATCCACACCTCTCTTTCTTCTCCCTCTGTATCATCTGTTACGTGTATGTCGCTGCTAACCTGAAGCTTTTCTGTGTTGTAATGTAATTAGAGGCGGGCCGCGTGCGTATAGGTCGGCATTTGGTTATCCATACAAAGGATTTGTGACTTTTTTTGTTTTGTTATTTTTTTTTTGGAGATTTTTTAATCGATCGGCGCCTCAATGGCCGCACCTCCGGCGAGAGCGAGAGCTGACTACGATTATCTCATCAAGCTCCTCCTCATCGGCGATAGCGGTCAGTTTTCATTCCCGATCCGTAGTTTTGATTGTTATTTGAATCATGCGATGCAATCTGAGAATATTTTATGCAATTTAGCTCGCGTTGAGAAGAGTTGTGACGTTTCTTACGATCCAGTTGACTTTTGATGCAATCGTGGATATCGATTCCTAAGCCTTTGAATCGATTCTTCTGGTGAAATGGGCTGTGAATCGATTCCTAAGCCTTTGATTTTAATATTCTTTTGTTTTTTAGAAAAGCATAGGACGCCGGATATGTGATCTCTTTTGGTGCTTTGCCTGATCTTCAGTGTACCCACCGAACGAGTCTATTAGTGTCTATGGTCGATAGTAATCTGCACTCATATGATTTTCTATAAGACTATCATGCTTTTACTTCACCATGGATGGATTGATGCTTAAGCTTTAGTGTAGGTGTCACCTTGGGTCTCTATTTTGTGCACATATCTTAATCAAATGGAAAGTTAGAGCTAGGATCTGCACATGTAGATGAAAATGTTCAATTGTTCCCTGACATGCATCTAAACATCCTTGATGAATGACCCAATCAGGAGGCCTTAGATGTCTGCAGAAATGTGTTAGTCTATGTACTTTGATTTTTCTATGAGCGTGGGTGCTATCTGTAGATTCATAATAATTCTCTATGCATTCCCCTTTCTTCTGTGTTTTTCTATTTTCTCTAGTGAACACCCTCATCTTTTTGTAGTACATTTATCCTTGCCATGATTTATCTTTTTTAAGTAACAGTAGGTAAGTATTCTAACAGTTTTGTATCCTCCTTGAGAGAAGAAAGTGAATTGTCGGAGTGGAATTACTTCGTCAGAGGGAAACTAGATCTCCATGAGAAGGGAAAGGGACCAATGGCCAATGGGGGTTGAATCCACCGACACGTGGAATACTAGTATAATTTAGGCTCATTTCCTTTACGAGCCATTTTTCTAGGTGTATTCTACTGCACAGTCTTCACTATTTTCATCTCTTGTAGTTATGGGATCATAGTTTTGAAAATCTATAAAGGCTAAAACTTGAGGCATCGGTTTCTCCTTATTACAGATAATCCCACACCACCTGTCTGAGGCTTACTTCTTGAGACATATGTGACATGAAATGTATGAGGTTTATGCATCCAGTAAAACTTGCTTTTCAATATGCCACTAGGAAATTTAGGATGCCTTTAGTTGCACTTATAAAGAAAAGCCTAAGAAAACTAAAACACTAGAACTTTAGATGTTTGTTCTCTAAACAATTGGTTTCTTTTCCTCTACTCGCCATCTTCTGTACAATACTACTCATGCCTTTGGGTCTCTACTTGGCAGATTTGTTTTTGTTCTAATGCATTGGTTTTTATCTACTTTAATTGTTAACTAATTACATATATATGACTATTTATAACTTATAAGCATTATGTATCTTACATACATGGCTTACATCTTGGTTCACCTAGAGGTTACATCTCATGAGGCTAATATAAAACACATTGAAGCATGCTTTATCTTTTCAAACCTTGTATGTGATTTTTTTATGCAGAAACTTCCTTCAGATTTCTCTTTAGTTGTGTTTGTTGTTAGCAACTTAATATTCTAGTCTTTTGTTATACATTAATTTGATATGAACTGTGCAGGTGTGGGCAAGAGTTGTCTACTCTTGCGTTTCTCAGATGGTTCCTTCACTACAAGTTTTATCACCACCATAGGGTGAGTTTTTCTTTGCAGTTAATCTTTGGTAATCTTTGGTACATGTTTATCATCCAAGGAAGAAATGCTAATATGATGATAACTGCATCTTTCCTAATGTAAGGATTGACTTTAAGATACGAACAATTGAGCTGGATGGAAAGCGTATCAAACTTCAAATTTGGGACACTGCTGGTCAAGAACGGTTCAGAACCATCACTACTGGTATCTATAAAAATGGATAAACATGGGAAAGTTAATTTTTTTGATATTACTGCTAATTTTTCTCCATCAGGTAGGATGATCATTATTTCTTATTTCTGATAGAAACATCGATCCTGAAAATAACTTATCATATACATCCCCGTTCTAAAATAATTGCAACGTCAAGATTTTCACATTTTTAAATACATATAAACCTGTGATTCTTCAATTATGTTTTGGTTAAAATTATAAAACGTTGATACTACGTATTACATAAGATTATATTGCAAGTTTATACTGAGACGAATCCAATAAGACCCCACACGACTAATTGACTATATTTTTCACTATGAATAAATTACATGATATAATCAAATTTGAGTGAATGAATAATGTAAACTGTCCACTATTGCATTTATTTAAGAACGGAGGAAGTATGTTTATTACTGTTTATGTGCACGCTGATTTCTGTTCAACCGCACCAGAAAAATCAAACAACCCCAGTATGTTAATTATTTTTTGTGTTTTGTTTGTGGTCATGGATCATTTCAGCATACTATCGGGGTGCCATGGGTATTTTGCTGGTTTATGATGTAACAGATGAATCCTCTTTTAACAGTAAGGTTTCTTTGACATAGATTGTTATGTTGCTTGTCTATAGCATTTTAGAAAACCATGGCTTGCACTTGTCATTTATGTCATTCTGAATCTTATAATTTTGACCTACGCTCAGATATAAGGAACTGGATCAGAAATATTGAGCAACATGCCTCCGACAATGTAAACAAAATACTTGTGGGAAACAAAGCTGACATGGATGAAAGCAAAAGGGTATATACTCATTTTACATTATTTAATTCTGCTTGGTTTTGTTATTTTTGTCTTCATCATTTGATATCCACATTTTATATTGAAAAACAAAATGCTAAGTAATGATGAATAAAAGGTGTAGAAATGTTGCAAAATGGTGTTACATTCCAATGCCATCTCATGATATTTTGCATGCAAGTATGAAAAATATATGATGACAATTCTTATGGAGTTTGATCTCATTATTCTTGGTTGACAGAAAGGGCATTCAATGTAAAACTGCTACTGATTTTTACGTGAACCCATAGCATTAATTATATTTGGACAACTAATTGACACAACTACCTTCATGTCACTGATGCCAATATAGTTTGGATTAAGGTGCATGATGACAATTAAAGCTCTGAAAAAGAAACTGGGAGAAGGAAAGATTTTTTATTATTATTTTTAATTTCCTCAATGAAGAAACCACTTTGCCTTTCTAGTATGCGGCTTACACATCATCAAACTTTGCTGAGTCTAATAATATTTGGAACCCTGTTCAGGCTGTCCCTACCGCTAAAGGCCAAGCACTTGCTGATGAGTATGGGATCAAGTTCTTTGAAACTGTGAGTAGATCCTATCATAAGTACCAATAAGATCATTTTGATTTTTGTCTTGTTTTCTTACTGGGAGGTAATTTTTTCTGCAGAGTGCCAAAACAAATCTTAATGTGGAACAAGTTTTCTTTTCAATAGCGAAGGATATAAAGCAAAGGCTTTCAGACACTGACTCAAAGGCAGAGGTAATTAAGCCAATTCAAGTAGTTGCATCTGTTGTGTTATGCTTTAAAGCTCTCTTTCCATGTATGTTCTAATTCAAGTAGTTGCAATTGTTTTTTACCTTTTCAGCCCCTTTTGGCTGCCCTCCACACAAAAATAGAAGCATAAACATAAACTCTAGGGATGAAATTTAAAAAAAAAAGATTTACAGGGACAGAAAGCATATTGAACCCAGCCTAAGAACTTGCATTCTTACAATTTTACATATGATTGAAATATTGCAGCCCACACCAATCAAGCTGGTTCAAGCTGACCAGGGGTCATCGTCTGGTCAACCTGCCCAAAAATCTGCTTGCTGTGGCTCATAAGGTGGCCTAGTCGAATGAGAAAAAGAGTAGTACTATCGCCCATTTTAACCATGGTTATATATACTCCTTGCCATGGGAGCAATGAATGAATCAAGGACTGGAAATGGACTAACTTTGATGACAAAAAACACATTGGGAGCTTTGTATTTTCTTTATTTTAGTTTTTTACCGTTTTTTGAAGTCTTGTGTGTGGAAAGATAGATCCTTTTGTTTATTTGAGACCCTCTTTTTTGGGCACTTCATTTCCCTTCCCTCTCCACATGGCTTTGGCTTACCCACAATTATTTTAATTAGGGTACAATTTATATTTTGAAACTTCTCATATTATTATAAGTACTTTTGTATTACTACCAAAAATCTATGTCTTCCTTTCTAGTTGGATTATGATTTGGTCTGCCCATTTTCTCCCCCTCTTGTCATCTAAACCAGTAAGTATGATGTGTTCTGGTTTTGGTAATTTAAATAAACCAAATCAAGACTGGCGTTTTAGCCGGGTTTGCATTATCATGTTAATGTCCAGTGGAGTTTTTTTTTGAAAGGCTGTCATGTACATAAATGCGTGTACTCGTGTTTTCCAATACTTTCTTTTTCTCATTTGTCTACTTTTCCGGTTACATACAATTCACTTAAATATGCTTGCTCCTCATAAACAAAAGTTCAAAATTGACTAACACGGTTTTTAAAAAAGTTTAAAATTGACTCAATGGATAGAACACGATTCTTAAGAACTCCCAAATTGAGAGTTCTATCTATTGAGTTTCTTTTCTTCTTCCATCTTTTTGGGAGTTCTATCCATTGAGTTTCTTTTCTTCTTCCATGAAGTTATATTCACCTCTACATCTCATCCCATCTCTTCCCCTTCCATGGCCACCACACCCTCCTCCTCCTCCACCATACCCACAAACTCAACAACCACAAAACCCCCAATATTCTCATGAGAGGTCTCCTCATCACCCCCTCCTTACTCGTACCTTTTATGCAACTAAGAGTCTCCATTCCCCACCCCCAGAGAAGAGATTATGCTTTGACGACCAAAGAAGTTCTCAGTTGGCTAAAGGATCCCCCCATGGCATAAAATTATCATGAAATCAAATTGCCTCGTCGTTGCCAAGAAATACCTATGGTCTCACTTCAATGATCTCTTAGTTATTTTTTTATGTTATTAATTCTTGCAAATCCCTAGCTCTCCCTGTAGAGATTGATATTTCATTTGCTTTTATCTTTCGTTCAACGAACACGGTTGTTCATGCTTTAGTTGAGACAACATGTTCTCCTCTGGACACTGGGGCTTTGCTTAGCACCCTGCCATACCTTAATTTGTAATCCCTCATTTCAGAAATGTTTAATGCTTTCATATTCCTAAAAGAAATTAAAAAGAGAAATAACACGAGCAATACAAATTTTCTTTAAAGAAAATATGAACCTTATTTTGGGACATATGGCGTGAAGAAAATATAAATCTTTTTTTTTTTTTTTTGGAAAAAAATAAAAGGAAGGGTCAAGCATTGGGAAAAAATGAACTCAGATTAGTACTCAATATGGTTCAAGTCAATGAGAACCAGAGATATCCAAAAATCAGACATCATAGATAAAGGGCCAGGGTGGTTTGTGGCCGTACAACCATCCAAACAAAGAAGTTGGTGGAACAACTGGTGGGCACCCCAAGGCAAAAACATTAAAGGGGCTTTTGTGGCTTCACCAATTAAGAAACTAAACACTGTTTTTTGGGAGAGATTCAAAAGGAAAGGGCAAATAAACTGAGAAGGGTGTTTGACCTTATTTATGTACATCTTCATATAAGCTTTATCATGTTTATGAAAATTTGTATGTTTTAGCAAACACTTGTATCTTACACATTCAAAAGAACCACAAAATTGAATTTTTTTCTATAGACAATGAGGAGATCCTACCTTCTTTCAATCACCACACATCCACAGTACCACTCATATATTCAGTTCTTCCTTCCCATAGATCCTCCGAAGCTCTCGAGTAGCAGCTTGATATGATTCTGAAATAAATATCAAGAAATATGGTCATTGAGTTGTTGTGGCAGGCTAATGAATGTAATGCATAAAGTTAAGTCTTTTTCATGGCAGACTAATGTAACCTTTCCATATTTTGAAAGCTTTCTGGTTGATCGGAGAGCCTGTCACGGTCTGAATTGCATCAAACAACTCACTCTCTCTTGTGCTTCTCAGCTCCTGGACAATCTGATAAATGGTCTTGCCATTCTCGAAGTATATGTGACTATTTGGGTGATTTGTCTTGCTACCGGCATGCCGCTCAAATTCGAAAGCATTAAGTGCCTTTCAAAAGATTTCAATTTGTGAAGATCCTAATGGATATTGAAAAGGACCTAACCTTACAAGTGGGAAAAGAAAAGATTTACCTTAGAATAGTTACATGATTGGCAACTACATAGATATCTAGAACCTTTTATAACCCCATGCAGCTCCTAAATCATATTCATGGAAGGTTTGCAATTAGTAAATGCTGATGACCGTAATGACGGTGATAGAGTGCACAATGCCTTGGAAATGGTTAGTTACATCTTCCTCCCCCCGATGCCTGAGGTTGGGCAAATTACCAAATAACATGTCTGAAAATTACTAATAAGCCCCACGGCATATTTTCTGCAAATGACCATTTTCACACCAAAAGATTATGGAATATAATACATTATATAGGGCAAAATATTTGAACCTTTCTAACAAAAAATGAAGCTTTCTCTACAAAAATAGATTGTAATGCATTTTTTTAGGGTAATTTAGTTTGAAATAACTTAATTCCTACAAATATTTTTAGAGTAGGTTCTAAAATATTTTACTTAAAAATACTTCCATATAAGTATAAATTCATAACTTTCGGCAAAGTTGGTCAATTAGACATGAGCCAATGTTTTCCATCTTTGACAAAAAATTCCAAAGATGTCATTTACCAGTGGGACAAAGGCAATATCATCTTTTGCAGTCATTTGTGATATAACTGACCAGTTATGGGGGTAATTTGCAATTTCAGAAAATTCTAGGGCCATTTGATGATTTGAGCCAAACTTGAGAGGTAGATGTAACGAACCCATTAAAACAATTGTACCTCCCCAGAAACAGAGACATATTTTACAGGCACACCATCAAGCATCCCAGTAGACATCAAACTTCTAACATTTGGTGGAAAGCTGTCTGGGGTTTCTTTCTTAGCAGGTTTTGCATATGACTTTGTCTTTAGAATGGGTTTAGTCACTTGAGACGAGCAAACAATTGTTGCATTAAACTTTGATCCATCTAAATCCTTGTTGACTTCTGTTTTTGATGATTGTAGTGTAAATTGATTGTGAATATGTTCGCAGCTGCTAATTGGTCTTCCCAGGGCATTAATATCAGCTTCCTCTTGGTATACGCCAAAGAGAAATGCACTATAGTCCCCCTTTTTGAATGATTGACTTCCCGATAGTGAATTAATAACATCTTCTCCTTGCCTCATTGATGTGTAAGTCTCTTCAGATCCCTCATTATATACCTCTTGAAGATCAATGGGCAAATCGATATTTTGTTCCTTAACCTGATTAACTTTAACTTTTCTGAGCCCATCACAACTAATGCATGAATCTGGTTCTTCAATGTCGTAAGACATCGACAAACCAACAGATGAATCATTTCCAAACTCGCCACCAATCACACTTTTCCTCAAGTTTCTTTCACCTAAACCTGCAGGTCCCATTGCATCGGATCTGAAAAGCCGACCTATGAATTGGCTTGGAAGAGACTGAAAAGTGGATAAGTTCTCCCAAGATAGAGAACTTGAATCTGACTTGCTGGTTGAAGAAGCTTCAATAGCCTGTTTTTTGTAAGAAATTTGTTCTGGTTCGGTAATTTCTAATAACCACTGATGGTGAGTGCGCTTTGTTTCATGTCTTAATGATCCATCAAAGAGTGTCTCGCCATCTGCTGGATGCTCAACTCCTTTTGGCATCCAAAAGTCCTTCCCATGGAAAGAATTGGAAACAACAACATATAAAATTAACCCCAGTCAGTATTTTTATCCAATGAAAGTACCCTTCTAACAAGAATATAATGGGCTTTAAAAAAATGCATTTCGAAATTTGAGATTTGGAAAAAACACAGGTTCAGATGACATTTACTACTACCTTCCCTTCATATTTTCTGTGAAGCTTTGGTCAGTAAATGCCTCAATGCATCTAGGGTCTAACACAAATAGCCTCTCAGTTTTTACAGGAGTAAAACTGCATACATTTTGACCATATGGTCTGAATGAAATTGGGAGTATACTGGGTTTTTGTTGTTCTTACATCTATTATAAAACATGAAACAATCATATAAGTTTTAAATTTTATTTGCTGGGTTTGTTAATTTTACATGCTTTTTTTTGTCAAATTACACAAAAAAGTTATGCATCAGTAAACCAATTCATGTATAAATAGTCTGATCAAAATGCCAAAAGATAACCAGATCAGCAGCCTGTCCAATAAGATAATCAAAGCAAGAAGAGATAAGAAGATCGAAGTAAAATCATACTGTTTGTCATAAATCAGTAGGAGCTTACCATTTCGAAGCTTCCACTTCAATCGATCAATTCAAAAGCCATAATCAGAGAACTCCTGCTTTCAGAGAACCCTAACCCTAACATTTGAAGAAAAAGAGACCGTTCGATTTTACCAGTTGTAGTAGAGGCGACATGTGAAACTTTCCGATGATATTCCCGGCAATTATAGGCGGTCAACTGCCGCCGTTGTAAGTAGTTGCAGACAGTGACCGATCGGTAAAGAAAAGCACTTATCCTTCTTGACGTCAGGCCGGTGGGCTCGGGCGGCTGTTTCATACAGAGTCTTCATACCACATTCAGACCCTTATAACACTTTATCTATTCAAAAATTATGATTTTTTTTATTTTATTACAATTTTTTTAATTTTTTAATAAAATAAAATATTTTTTAACATCGTATTTATAAAATTTTTGATATAATTTTTAAATATGTATACTTTATTATTTTTAGAAAATTTAAAATTAAGATTTAATTAGTGATAGACAAGATGACAAAGAACAATGATAGGTTGTGATAGTAGTAGAGAGTAGCTAGGTGGTCAACGATTATATGGAATCTCATATTGATATCTCTCAAATTCGGGCGATATGGATTCGCCGCATTTGAAGAATTTGTGATATCTGAATATATTGTACGAAGTATTCAATTTTTTTATGTCTCTATAAAAACTAAAAAAATCTAATGCTGCCAAAATATTGTACGCTCAATTCATTTTATTTAAAGATTAGTATAGAATTAAAAAATAATACTTGCATATTTAAGGTGGCCTAGTTAATTGGATTAGATCAGCTTAAAACTTAATAAAATCATATCAAAACCAATCAGATAAGTTGAAGATAACAAGCTCTAAATCAAGGTGATTTTACCCCAAGTGTTCATGTGAAAACTAAAGAGCATCCCACATTTCCACCACCATCACTTTGTCAGGTAGAGAGAAATAGAGAATCATATAAAAGCATAGAACAAATATAGTAAAAGTATAAAAGAATCAGAACCATGGCATGGCATAGAAAGCAAACTTATCATTGTACAAATTCAAAGTGCCAAGAGATCAGCAATCTCTCCAATAAGACAAGAGATAAAATAAAAATTGAAGCGCGGAAAATAAAATAAAATATAGGCCGTATGATTCAGCTATGGTAGTGGAGGCGCCATGTGAAACTTTCCGATGATCTTTCCGGCTATGATACACCGTCAAGTGCCGTAGTTGTAACAAGTAGTTACCGACAGTGACCGATTGGTGGAGAAGACTAGAAGAGCAATGGATTTTTGCTCCAAAATTAAAAGAGATGTACAATTATATACCCCATCCGTCCCAGAAAACCTTTTTCCTTTCTTTTTTGTTCCGTCCCAAAAAACACTTCTCATTTCTATTAAAAAGTCATTTTTACCCCTTACTTTTTCATACCCTACCTATCACATCATACCTTTTTACTAATAATCTATCCATCAAATCATACTTTTACCCATCACATCAAAGGACATTTTTGGAAATTCAATACCAAAATACACTCCCCTTAAATCCCTCTTCAAAATCAAAACTCCATATTTTCCGGGACGGAGGGAGTAGTATGTTCCAAAACTAAAATCATGTTCTCTTCCACCTGACTTGAATGCTTCTGACTTGATTAGAATAAATTCTGATTTGATCAGAATGTAGTTATATTTAAAGTTGTTTCTAATACTCCCTCCGTTTGGAAAAATCCTTCCTATTTGATTTGGGAGCAAAAATAAAGAAGTGTTAAATTATAGTTGATTTTCAATTTTGCCCCTGCTGTGATGAGTAAAAGTAAGATGTGATGGATAGATTATTAGAGAAAAAATATGATGTGATAGGTAGGGTATGAAAAAGTAAGGGTAAAAGTGGGTTTTTAATATAAATGGGAAGTGTTTTGTTGGAAGTAGAAAAAATGAAAGATGAAGTGTTTTTGAGAACAGAGGGAGTTTCAAATAAGAATAAGTAACAACTAAAAAAATAAGTTGAACAGAACATTACCTAAAGTGATGCTCCATTTGGAAAAGTGCCACACCAGATCCTCCTCCCCTGACAAAATGCTACTGTAAATACTCCCTTCGTTGTAATGTATTTATCCATTTTCTATTTTTTCAGTCAAAATTGGTAACTTCGACCTCAAATTAAATTGAAATGATATTAGATACTGATACAAAATAGTTTTATTAAATTTACTATATAAAACATTTTCAAAATATTATTTTATTTATTTAATATAAAATTTATATGTTAGTAATTATATGTCAAAGATTGAAAATGATTGACTATAAAAATTAAAAAGTGGATAAATACTCCGGGATGGGCAAAACATTAGGAGGACTCGAATGAGGTACAGAGAGTGAGGTGAAACCACTTTCGGACACAATGCAGTATTGCAGGTATTCGATATTATCTCAAGATATTACTTTCAAATGTCAACAGAAATGGAGTGCAATTGTACATGCAAGGCCATGTGTTATGGGGGCTTGACGAGGTGTAAGGATGTATGATGTGAAATGATGAAAAATATGTGTAAATGCGTGTTAAATTTTAATTAGTTGGAATTAAAAAGAAAAAGAAAAAATGGGACAACGGCGGGATGGCCATCCCCGCGTGAGAGGTCACACCAAAAATTATTATTATTATTATTATTATCATCATCATCATCATCATCATCATCATCATCATCATCATCATCATCATCATCATCATCATCATCATCATCATCATCATCATCATCATCATCATCATCATCATCATCATCATCATCATATTCATCATCATTATTGTTCTTCTTTTCCAAATAATTTACACTTTTATTATTATAACATTTTCATAATTTTTGTTTGTTTGCATTTTTTATTGATTTTTTGATAAAATAAAATACTCTTGGTACTTTTATTTTGTAGAACTTTTGGTATAATTTTTAAATGTATAATTTTTACTTTTTATTTCTATACTAATTTGTAAATAAAATATTTTTAAATGTTATGAGATTTTACACATCATTTGATAAGTGTAAGTTATATTGGGATAGAGGGAGCATAATTAATTTTATTTTAGTATTTCAATAAGATTTATGCTAAATGAACCCCGAATTAGACCTCACTTTTAACATATTTTCTTACTAACATCTACACACATTTGGCATTATTTTATGTCTTGATGGTAACAAATAGCTGAAAAGTGAGTGAAGAATTGTTAATTTCTATAATTAACAGCGGAGGGCTAAGCCTCGTATAAATAGATACAGTAGCGTCCTAACTACGGAAGGTAACTATACAAGGAAACCTACCATGTGTACCAAGGATTGCTACATTAATATTAAATATACACATACTATATTTAACATGCGCCCAACTACGTGACCGGTGATGGACGAACACCAAGACTGTGTCTGAAATCGGAGAAGAGGAGTGAGGGAAGCCCTTTGGTGAAGATATCGGCATACTGAGAAGATGATGGAACATGAAGGACCCTGACGTGACCGAGAGCAACTTTGTCTCGAACGAAATGAATGTCGACTTCAACATGCTTGGTGCGCTGATGCTGAACGGGATTGGTCGAGAGATAAACTGCACTGACATTATCACAGAACACCAATGTAGCACGTCGTAGAGGCTGATGAAGCTCAAGGAGAAGATTTCGGACTCAACTTGCCTCAGCCACTGTATTTGCCACAGCTCGATACTCTGCCTCAGCACTGGAGCGAGAAGTCGTGGCTTGCCTCTTGGAGGACCAGGAAATGAGATTGTCTCCAAGGAAAACACAATACCCAGAAGTAGAACGGAGAATGTCGGGGCATCCAGCCCAATCAGCATCTGAATAGGCCTGTAAAGCATCTGTGTGAGTGCGGTGGAGCATGATACCATGTGTGGCTGTGCCATGGATGTACCGTAGGACCCTCTTCATGGCCGAAAGATGAGTGCTGCGGGGGGCATGGAGATGGAGACATAGCTGCTGGACTGCATAAGTGAGGTCGGGACGAGTGAAGGTGAGATACTGTAGGGCGCCGACAATAGATCTGTAGATAGTGGGATCCGGAAGAGGAGTGCCGGACGTCGCGGACAGCTTTGCTTTAGTGTCCACAGGTGTGGAGATAGGCTTACAGTGAAGCATGCCTGCCCGCTCTAGGATCTCGTGTGCAAACTGAGTCTGATAAAGAAAGAGTCCCCCAGCACTGCGCTGGACATTAATGCCAAGGAAAAAATTGAGATCCCCCATATATGTCATAGCAAATTCCCCTTTAAGTCGCTGAGTGAGACATGTAAGAAGGGCAGGAGAGGATGCTGTGAGGACAATGTCGTCCACATAGAGCAGGAGATAGGCCATGTCAGTGCCACGGGAGAAAACAAAGAGTGATGTGTCACTCTTGCAGCTACAGAACCCCAGAGTGATGAGAAAACCTGCAAATCGTTGGTACCAGGACCTGGGAGCCTGCTTGAGGCCATAGAGGGCCTTCTTTAACCTGCAAACGTAATTAGCCCGTGCTAGATCCTGGAAACCTGAGGGCTGGCTGGCATAGACAGTCTCGTGAAGTGTGCCGTTCAAGAATGCATTTTCCACATCAAGCTGGTGAATGGACCATCCGCGGCTAAGAGCAAGAGTGAGAACAATACGTACCGTGACCGGTTTGACAACCGGGCTAAAAGTCTCATCATAGTCGATGCCAAAGCGCTGATTGAATCCACGGACCACCCATCGAGCTTTGTACCTGGACAGTTCACCTGTGGGGCCAAATTTGTGGCGAAAGAGCCACTTACCAGTGATAATATTTTGGGTGGGGGAGGGAGATACTAATTCCCATGTTTCGTTTTTGATCAAAGCAGTAAATTCATCACACATAGCATTGTACCAGTTTTGATCCTTAAGTGCACTACGGTAGGTGGGCGGGAGAGGGGAAATTTGAGCCATGGAGTTAAGGTTAAGGATCTGTTTGGGCTTGGATATGCCGACTTTGGATCGGGTTATCATGTGATGGGTGGTGGTGGTGTTATTGGGCTGTGTGGGCCGAGGAGATGGGGGGAGATTTGGTTNGGGGAACGGGGTTGGGGTATGTGGGCCGTGGGGATTGGGCCGGTAGAGGTGATGGGGGTAAAATGGGTGTGGTGTGGGTTTATGTCGTTCTCCGTGGAGTCAAGAAAGGCAAAATCGGGGGGTGAGACCGGGTGAGAGAAAGGGTAGGAGTGTTCATCAAAGACCACATGACGGGAAATTATAATTTTATGGGTGAGAAGATCAAGGCAGCGGTAACCCCGTTGGTTAGACGGGTACCCAAGAAAAACACAACGGGCCGAACGGGGGGCGAGCTTGTGTGGAGCAGTAGCGAAAAGATTGGGATAACAGAGGCACCCGAAAACCCGGAGGTGAGAGTAGGTGGGTTTTGTGCCATATAGGGCTTCATGAGGAGTGCGGTTTTGAAGAGTGGTGGTGGGGAGAATATTAAAGAGATGTGAGGCCATATGTAACGCCTCAACCCAGAAAGTAGGTGGGAGTTGGGCTTGGAATAGAAGGGAGCGGACAGTATTATTTATGGTGCGAATGGTACGTTCAGCCCGTCCATTTTGCTGACTGGTGTGTGGACAGGAGAAGCGAAAAAGAATGCCCAAGGAGTCGAAGAAAGTCCTTAGAGGAGCATTTTTATATTCGGTGCCATTATCACATTGAACAGCCTTAATAGTAGTGTTAAACTGATTTTTCACAAAGGCAATAAAAGTGTGGAGATGTGAGTATGCTTCAGATTTACTTCTAAGAGGAAATACCCATAAAAAATGAGAATAATCATCTAAGAGCAACATGTAATGTTTAAAACCAGTAACACTAGCAACAGGCGATTGCCACAAATCGGTATGTAAAAGTTCAAAAGGAAAAGTAGAAATACGACTCGATGACTCAAATGGGAGACGAATGTGTTTTCCAAACTGACATGCATGACAAATAGAGTGCTGTAATGGAGTAAAAGAAATATCAGAGGAGAGACTGGAGATTCCACGGAGAACGGCAAGGCTCGGGTGACCCAGACGACGATGCCAAAGCTCCGGACGTCCGGTGACAACGTGGGCCTGGGCGTGGGCAGGGGCTGCGGTTTGGCTCATGGGGTAGAGTGGGCCGGCATTATTGGACCAATGAATCACGGTTCCCGTCAGCATATCCTTCACAGAAAAACCAGTGGAGTCAAATTCAATTGAACAATTATTATCACGGGTGAATTGTCGAACAGAAATAAGGTTGTGGATTATGTGCGGGGAGACAAGGATGTTTTGTAAGGCTAGGGGAGGGGAAGTGGGAAAGTGGTAATTACCGGTTGCCGTAGTGCGTACTTTAGAACCATTACCTACAGTAATATATGATGATGAATTTAAAGAATGAGTACGAACATGAGAAAGAGTACCTGGGTCCGAGGCGATGTGGTGTGTGGC